AGTAGAGTGTAGAAGAGATTCTGTAACAAGAAAAGAAGTTTTGAATTGTTTTAATCCAATTAGTCCAATCGTCGTTATCAAAGTTTAAGTTACTTTTCAAGTCAGTAGTTAGTTTTTTGAACTAGTATTAGGTTTGGGAGAACAAGTAGGGCAATCTGCAGTTTTAAAACCCTTAAAACCACATTTGAAACAAATCACGAATCGTGGTTGAGTACAAGTGTTCAAAGAATGTCCTTGTTTACGACAGCGAACACAAAAGGAGGTTTGTTGAGGAGCTTTAGTTTGAGAGAGACTATTAACTTGTCTAGAAGGGTATTTGTAGGATGGAGTGAATTTATTCATGAGGGGAGGAGAGGGTCGTGAGTTATTAGAAGAATTTGGAGAGTCAACTGAACTTGAAGTGGAATGCTTGTAGTTGAATTCAGAAATAAGAGGACTTTGTTGTACATTTGGTTCATTAAATTGTTTGTCTCTGTCTAGGAATTTTTCATAGTTTTGGCAAGTAGCCAGTAGAGAGTCGATAGAGTCAATGTCTTTTAGAGCTACGAAGACTGAATAACATGGGCGAATATTCCTTAAAATAATCTCCAATTGTTCTGTTTCAGAAAGTTTCTTCGAAAGACGAGAAAACATTCCAGACATAATGGAAATATAGATGACAATAGGTTCATCTCGACCTTGAGTTCGATTCTTAATCGCTTCTAAAAGTTTGTGATCATAATCAAAACCACCAAAGTCTTTGATTAATAACGAAGAAAGTTCGTTCCACGTTAAGTTTGGATTCTGATTATATTTAAATCTGAACCAATGAAGAGCATTGTCAGTGAAAATTTCAAACGCTTGTGAAATCAACAAGTCTTTGGACAAGCCACGAGCTATACAGTATTCTTCCAGTTTTTGAAGAAAGGATCTTGGACAGCTTTTACCATTGAAGGTGTGTCTTTTCAGATCTTTGAAGACGTTGGTTGGAGAAAAAGATTGAGGTGGTGGTGGAGGATACGGGGTATGGACCTGAATAGAATTTTGAGAAACAAGAGGGAGTTCCGTGACAGTCGGGTCAACCGTGACAGTCGGGTCAACAGGAGGGTCATTTTCAGTTGGAGCTGGAGTCAAGGATTCAAATTGTTTAGTAATATCGTCATATTTCATCTTCAAAGTATCGAAAATAGTTTTAAAGTCTGGATATAAGTCAGTATCTATTCGTTCCAATCTGTAAAAGATATGATTAATAAAGGTTTCTATTAGTCGCAAGTATTTGGTTTCGCCTTGTAAAATTTTTTTAATTTTACAGTCCAAGTAGGTCAAGGTAGAATCAATTTGAGACAAGTCATCCTCAATCGGAATTGGAGAAGTCAGAATATCTTCAGGGTGAGAATTCGCAACTAAACGCAAAACCTGTTTTTTTAGAATTAAAACAGTATTAGCTGGTTCCTCACATCTAATCTTCACTTCGTATTCGAGTTCGGCCTTGTTAAGAAATTCGTACTTAATAACCCTTTTCATTGTTATAATTATGTGTAAAGTTAAGTTTAAGAAATAAAAATTTAATTAAAAATTATACCTCTTTAAGTTATCTAGAATAAAAATATTAAAGTGATGGATGTAAGTAAGGTGTTAAATGTAGGTCTAAATATAATCTAGATAAGTTGAAAAACTAGATTAAGTTTTGTTCTGGAATAAAAATATTAAAGTGATGAATGTAAGTGTTGTGTGAAATGTAGGTCTAAATATAATCCAGATAAGTTGAAACACTAGATGAAGTATTGTTTTAGAATTTGGAAGGTATGAAAAGGATGAATAAATGAATGATGAATAATGAGTTAAGAACGAAAGGGAGAGCAATTAAATCAAAAGGGAATGGACAAGGCGCAGTAAAGGTGAAGAATTAAGAGAGAAAGAGGACTTTTACGTTGGGCGCCAAATGTCGTGAAGCGACAATTAAAAAAAAATAGAACCTAACCTAAGTACAACAAAACAACAAAAGTAGAGCCAGAAAACAATATATTTAAATTTATAAAAGGTATTTACAATTTTATAAAAAAATGAAATGAGGATGATGATGAATGAAGTGAGAGTACAATTAGATTATAAAAAAAATAAAGGTGAGAGAATAGGGGAATATAGTGTTGTAGTGGGGCCTAAAAGTCGAAGCGACACACGTTGCGTTTGTAGAGGTATGTTTCGATGTAGCTTTGTAGAGGTTTCGCTGCTAAGAAACATACCTCTACAAACGTAGAGGTATGTTTCTTAGCAGCGACGGCACGCAGCGCCTGAAGCCAGCACACGCCGTTTGCGCTTGTAGAGGTAGGTTTCTTAGCAGCGACGGCGCGCAGCGCCTGGAGCCAGTACACGCAGCGTCCGGAGCCGGCGCACGTAGCGCCTGGAGAAGGGGCGCGCAACGCTTAGAGCCAGCAGTTGCAGCGCCCAAAGGTAGCGCCGGCGGTAGGTGCACTCGGCGCCTGGAGTAAGTAGTCGTAGCGCCCGGAGTAGTGTGGCCCCCGCGCTTGTAGTAGTCTCGAAGCGGCTTCCGAGGTAGATGGAGGCTTGTAGGAATCCGGAGTGGTGCGGCTCCGCGTTTGAAGAAGGCTTCGCCGAAGACTTCACGTGTAGGTGGAGGCTTGCAGGATCCCGGGGCAGTGCGGCCCCGGGATAAGGCCTTTAGGAGATACTTCCAATTCGCGAACTGAAGCGAGACTGCCTTTCTTCACCGATTGTTCGGCTTTTATACCTTTCTAGAGAGAACGGAAAAATTATTTAAATTATACGCAAATTTTTTGTAAATGGTCAAGAGAAAAGAGGATTTATGTGGAATTATCGAAATAGGAATAACAGATCGGTAGCAAATTTGAATATAATTACCATGGAAACGATATAAATAAGAAAGACAAAACATGTCAAATTTTTGTTTTAGGTTTATAATAAGAAAACGGTAAGATTTAAGTGGAAAATGAGATATTATTGATATAGGAAAAAAAGTAGCGCAGCTGCCCACACAAAGCCCAAGATTGTAGAGTTACGGAAAACTAGCTAAAAGATCGAAAAAAGGTAGACTCCATTGACACCAATTTAAAAGTGCTGATAATGTGAAAATACGAAGTAGAAATGATTTGTTATTGTGTTCTTATGGTTTAAAATCGTTACAGGATCCTATGGAAATAAAGGTGATGTAAAATATCCAGTTTTGAGGTGAATACAGAAAATCGAAACAGAATGGAAAAATGAATTTAAAATAATGTAAAATGATACGTAAGTAGCATAACACTACAAAGTTGATAATAATTATGAATAATACGAATTAGATAATTACTGAATAATAATCATTGATATTCGTGCATTTTGTGAAATTATACACACACGTCATTGTGTCAATATCGTAAGTACATACGTACGTAATTAATGTCAAATATTTTCACACATTGACTAATTTGTGCTTGTGAAATATATTGATTATTATTATATCACATTTTTGCTTGTGCTGATTCCCGCTTTCTCTACCGTTGCACTTTTTACTGCTTATGCTGACGATTTATGCCTTTATTAATATACGGACTCGATCACGCCTACTTATTGACTTACTGCTAATTTCTACGGACATTCTGATAATTGCATCCACGATGTTGAGGTGCACTATTTGTCATCATTGCGTCAATAGGATGCAGGGGCATTTTGTGTCCTCATTTCGATTTATAATCTGAACTCTTCTTTCAACATGGAGATCTTTGCAACAAATATATTTAGTTTTATAACATTTTTATATAGTTGACAATTTATGGTCCTGCCGATGTCGTAAAATTATTTACTAATCTGTAAATATTTACATCATATTCAGACACATAATAATATGTATATTAAAAAATAATTTTGTAAATAATATAACTTGTTTATATGACTAGGACTTAGATTATATGAAAAACAGGCCGTGCTATTCTTATATTGTGTAAGGACCTCTTAGATCCTATACAAGAGGAACCTTTTTTATTGTTACTGATCATTATATTATTATGCTCCTTAAATTCTATCATATATTCTATCATATTATACAATTAGCGCCTGACAATTTATATTCTGAAATTACAATGAACTGCAACGAATGCTGTTATAAACATACGGTAAATAATAAATAATTAATAAATTTATTTATTTACCAGAACCACTTAGCCAAAATACAGAAAAGTTCTGTGACTCCCACACTAGGCATGGCCTGTCTCGTGGGGGTCAAATAAAAGATTTTATAATAGAACAAACTGGCTATTTGTCGAAATTACGCAAAACAATTATGCCTAGCAAAGCAAAAAAAAAAACGAATTAAAAACTATGAAAAATTACAGACATAACAAGCATATTCTAATTTAAAGGAGCGCGCGTGTTATTGACGGTGAGTGTGCATGAGTGTGAGTGTATGTATGTGTGTGTGTATATATATATATATAATATATATATATATATATATATATATGTGTGTGTGTGTGTATGAGTGTGTGAAGTTTGAGTGGTGAGGTAGCCCTACGATTAAATTCTTGGGATCAGACGGCAGGGCTGGCGTCATTACTGTCCACAACCGTTTTAACACCTATTTAAAGGTCACCAATATTTCTTCTGTTTCCTCATAGTCCCAAGTCAATAAATAGTTCATAATTTTTGTTTTAGTCTCGTAATGTTGGGATCGTTTTAAGCCGTATAAATTGACTTATTTGTAGTACGCAGGAGAAACGTCGTAACGTGTTACACAGATCGTGCCTCGTCAAAACAGCCCCGACAAAACAGCCCCCGACAAAACAGCCCCGACAAAATAGCCCACCGACAAAACAGCCACCGTAAAAACAGCCCCCGACAAAACAGCCCAACTCAAAATAAATACCATACATATCTATAGAATTTATAACTATACTTATACCGTGTATCTACTTCAGTTGGCGATATATGGGAAACTTTTCTATTGTGAGTTTTAGCAAGATATTATTCCTTATAAAAATTTATACTTTACAATTTGTTCATTCCAACTATTGCAAATGTATCTGAATAATGTTTTCTACAAATGATATCAACTCCATCAATTTTTGAAACACTCGAACATATGTTTCTTCTCGTTTATCCTGTAGAAGCACGTAAATCAACGGAATAGAACGGTTATCTACCAATGCATGAATGGTAAATACTTGTAAAAATAATTGTGGGGCTACTTTAAAGGTTCCATCTACGTGCCAGTGCCGGTGCTCCTCTAAAACTTCCAAATTTTCTTCAGTACCAAACATGAAGATGCGATGAGGATCATTCTGTCCAGAATCCCATAACAAGAAATTTAGATTTCTTGAAGTGACTTGTAGTGCAACAGGAATATTAATATCGGCAACAGAGCCTGGGTTTGGGCACGACACTTCACGCCTTTGCCGAATACGCTCAACAGTTCTCTGAGATGCATTGTACGATGGCAAATGGACTGATGCTTCCAAATTTATCCCTCTTGTCGATCCTTGAATCAACTGCCTTGGTTTCTCAAGGGTGTCCGCTGCTCGCCTTTTCATATTAGACACAGATTTTTTTGCTTCATTTTTAGCTGGATCTGGAGCATGACTGTGTCGAGTCACATTTACCACGACATTTTCCAATGACACTTTGACACGTCCTCGGCAAGGTGTCTCGGCGCATCTCCATGATACACTGCCATCGGTATTAGTTCTCGCCTTACGATACCGGTACCCATCGCTCAACAGTAAATCTTTGCCTTTCTGCGATTGAATAAGTTCCATGATCTTCACCAGACAAAATTCTACAAGACTATAGTTATTTTGTGTGTCCCGATGTTCTTATATATTACTGCTAACGGCCGAAACGTAAATCCCCCCTTCTTGGAACCTACTCATAATAGGTATAGTCCGTTCATCGGTTTAAGAAACTAACTTTTCTTTTACGGGGGATTATCCCCTTACCTGGTGCTGCAATTATAGAACAATTAAGTAATTTATTAACACTTCCCATGTATTTCTAAATGACCCATACTCGTTCAATAGCAATAAGAGGATTATCGCCGCAAGAGGTACAATAGGCATTGTAAACACATTACAAATTACTTTGTATTTCTAAATGACCCATACTCGTTCAATAGCAATAAGAAGATTATCGCCGCAAGAGGTACAATAGGCATTGTAAATACATTACAAATTACTTTCTTAAAGCGATGAACGGACTATAAGTTATTATAACATTTATTCAAATCTGTTAATCGGCTGAAACGTAAATCGCCCCTTCTTGGAACCTACTCATAATAGGTAAGTTAATTAAATTGAAAGCTGAATATAAAATTCCACAATATATTCACAGAAATAATTATTATTATTATATTATATTTTCATTATGTAATATACTCTGAAGATAAAAAGCACGATTATCAATGCAACTAGCAAAGTAATAATATTATACTACCTGTTTACGGGCTGTTTTGTCGGGGGCTGTTTTGACGGGGGCTGTTTTGTCGGTGAGCTGTTTTGTCGGGGCTGTTTTGTCGGGGCTATTCTGTCCGGGGCTGTTATGTCGGGGAACCGTTACAGATTATTATGGCATGGCATGGCATGACTGTAGCAGTATTACATATTGTGGACTATGTTAAAATCACAGATGTGTTGTTACTTCGGAAGACTAAGATGGAATGTCTCTCTATAATTGGCTGAGACTCTATCTATTATACACAATTTAAGATCGGAACCGTTAACCGTTTTGTGGTGATGTAAAAATATGCACTACCCGTTACATCCCGTGGGTGTCCTCATAGGCGACAGGGGAAACTGAACCAGGGGATAGGCAGCAGCTCGTCCTGAGAGCAAAAATTACAAATTGCGATTGCCAATCCGTTTGCAAAGCGTGGCAAGTATGTCAAATAAACCCCCGTATGAGGCAGTCTGTAGAGGAGAGTTCTGAGCAATTGCAGCCGTGGACTTGTCATAGGTTGTAATGGTAGGTAATGGTAAAATCGGAATAAAAACTGTTTATTGTTGGTTGGTGGCAGTAATTACCTATTGGGAGGGTGATACTAACTCAAACGAACTCCTAAACAGAAAACGAGTCTCACCACTAAAGAAAATAAAATGAGTAATTAAGGCGTCTTGGAATATATTTTTATTTTATATTACATATTGCACAAATTTAAGTTGCCATAAAAGAGTTTTAATATTAACATAATCTTTCAATGTCCAAAATCGTGACCTCCATAACCGAATCAACCACTCCTGTAACCGCCTCCTAGTCCTCCTTGACCGAAACCTCGGCCGCCTTGTCCTCCTTGGTCGAAACCTCGGCCGCCTCGTACTCCGAAATCGCTACCTCCTTGCCCCAATCCACCGCCGAAACCTGATTGTCCGCCACCGATACCACTGCCGCTGCTGTATCCAAGTCCGCCACCAAGGCCAGAATTATATCCACCTCTTTGGCCTAAACCGCCACTGCCGTAGCCAATTCCTGAGCTTCCAATGCCTGATCCGCCAATTCCACCGCTCAAACCTGAAATTATTGTTTGAAATTATGATATTACGCCGCGCGTTCCGCCAATGCTTGTTTCACAATACTTCTTTGGCTGATTTCTCATTTTGCTATATTAGTAGTATAGTTGTAGCATGAAGGGGTCGGCTGGACCGGGGAAGGACGACGCTCTCACAGAATACCAGCGTGAAATAGCAGCTTAACAGCTTCGCTGCCGCCCTGACTATGGGGGTGGTTTGAGAAAATCCAAAATGTTTTTTTTATAATATGCGTTCGGCACATACCTAAAGAATAATATTTCAATAAATTTTTGACTATTATTATCATGTTTTACTATGAAGAAAAAACAAAATTAAAATTCCCGCAAATATGCGGGCTGGGGTTGAAATTTTCAATTCTAGTGCCGGGCCCGCAAATTAGCGGAGTGGCTTATTTTATGTATAATCGTTTATTTATGTCATTTGGACACGACATCATGTACTTTTTCTTGATTCTAATACTCTTGAGAACAATCACTAGTTTTTCACATAGTAAGCTTACAAAAATATACGGTATAAATTAAAAAGTAATAGTTAATAAAAATAGTAAACAAAAAACAGTTGAACAAAAAAACTTCTTCTTTAGCTTTTAACACAAAATAAAACTTCTAAAAAAATCCTGATGAGATGATTAACAGAACTGTAATATAATCCACACATATGATGTCAAAATAAAATAAAGTCTAGATGGACAAATGGAATTCGTCAAAACACTCAAAGCACAGACCAGGTTTGTCAATGCAAGTTTCGCAATGCTACATAGAGTCTCTCCGTATTTTGTGAGATTTTGAGTATGCGCTTGATGTTTCCTTTGGAATAATAGCTCTCAGTTATTTTACTGACTTTTTTGTGGCACTTCTCTGCTCTTTTTCGCTCTGCTTGGGTCGGTTGGAACAGCCACTGCAGTATTTTTTTTGGGTAAAAGCTCATTTATCACACCTAAACTATAATCGTAGTGTCATTTTAGGTTTTCCAGAATACTTGTTGTACATTTTGTAATAGTTTATAAATAGAAGTTGAAAGGTGTGGATGGCTAACTTGAGATACCAGCGAATAGTTTTTCTTTCGCACGGATAAAATGCGAGCAGTTGGTCTTGTCGGTTAACTCCTGACATAAACTCATTATATTTGGCAATAGTTGCAGGTTTTTCATTGATTTGGCGACGCTTATTAGCAACTGGTATCCTTATATCTTCATATTCTGTGGTGAAGTACATCACTGGGCGCTTATCTTTCCATTTTCCGATGTGCACACCTTCTCGAAACCTTGAAATATTATCGATTTTTTTAGCGTTTTTTGAACCACATCCTTTGGATTTACTTTCAAATCCTTTCTTAAAGTTCCACTACAATAAGTCTTATTATATAAAAGACGTTTATCTATTATAATAGTTAACCCTATATAATGGGTGTCCATTGTGAAGTTTCTCCTCCATCAATTGCATTACAATACATTTTTATAGAATAAGGGTGACAAACGAGCACATAGTCCAGCTGATGGTAAGTGGTTGCTATGGCCCATGGACATCTACATCTATCTTCGTTTGCGAATTAAAAAAAGGTCTCCGGTTCTCTACACTTACCATACGACACAAAGCAGCATTAAACTGCTATTTTACGCTGGTATTCTGTGAAAGCGTCATCGTTCCCCGGTCGAGTCGATCCATTCGTGCTACAACTATACTATTAATATAACTGCAGCATCACTCTACCGCGTATTAAAAAATACTTTATTAAAAAGATACAATCCACGTATTATTACTTACCAGGGTTTGCTGCTACTACTGCTACCAACGCCAGAGCAACAATCTGAAAATATGAAGTCTTTTGAAAAGCTTTTACAAGTTATAAGTTTAATAAGCACAGTCATCTATAACTTATATTTATACATTTTGTTTAATAAATATACATCAATTTTCTTATTAAATTAATTTACTTACCAAGAATTTAGTCATTTTGGTGTAAGATTTGTTCCAATTTTAGAATATGTTGAACCAGGTACGAGCTACGTCTGCGAATAATACAAAACATAAAATCCCACGACTTATATAGCAAAGCTCGCTGGAAACAGGCGAACCTCGTACGTTTAAAAATCTCTTCCTGACTGCACAGTCAGCCAACCGTTATATTTTTATTTGTTTTGTATGATAATACGATTTTAGCGCGCAGTATCAAGCTAGCATTGTAGTAGGTATTTTGTCCTTTTTTTAATTTTAAGATCTTCAGGATTTTTGGGTTACGTAAAAGTACATAATTTGCTACTCGGTAGTCCAGGTATTTTATGTATGGCGTGTTTTATTTACTGAAATTTTTTTTGAATCCTGAAAAATTCTTGCGAAATCTGCGATTCTTGTAGAAAATATTTAAAAATAATAATAAACTTGTCGTGCACAATGACAATTAATGTGCGATATTGTAGAATTAATATTATCTAGTCTTATTCTAATATAACAAGGTAACTAATTAAACACAAGATGTGTAATTAAATAATAAAACATTATATTTAATACAGGCTAAAATAATAAATATGAATATACAAGGACAGCAAACATATTAAATAATAATATCATTACGAATAATTCTTATGTAAAACTTAATATTTTATATTTAATTTTAATGAATGACAAAAACACTCATTATAATTATCACTTAACTTTACAATTATTATTTTTATATCGACGACCTTAATAATATTTATATTCCGACTACAAAAAAGAACGAGGTTCCAATCGACTAAATGTTTGACTGTGTCTACCGACTTCAAAAAGAAGACGGTACTCAATTAGACTGTATATTTTTTTAATGTGTGTTACCTCATAACTTTTTACTGGGTGAACCGATTTCGATGATTCTTTTTTTAATTGAAAGCTGGTGCTTCTCAATTGGTCTTATATAAATGATCAAGGTCTGACCCAATAGTTTTTCTTAATAATTTATATTAACGTCGGTTGTAAAAAATATATTTTAAATTATTATTATTAAGCTATATTTTTTTTGTGAACTCACTGAAAAAATTCACCCTTCCGGGTTGGTAGAATAGGGATGTACATACTCTATACCTACTGTGTACTAATATGTACTTTTGAATGTAACTGTTTATAAGACAAAGGAGTTGTTAGCTTGAGCTTCTGATATTTTTTAACTTTTTCGGAATTGAATTTTTTGGCTATCCAAGTTGTCTTAACTTTGATGAAAGTGGTTTTGATGTTGATGTGTCTTGACTTGACTATATGGTAGATAAGCAATCATTTTACCAATGTCTGTTGTGTACAGTATGTGGCTAGGCGTTGTCATGACGAAGCAGTGGCAAAGACCAGTTCCCCAGTTTATCCAGGTTCACCTCATCATTGCAATTCTTGGCAAAAGCGCTCAGCAGTAACAGTGTCTCGAGCCAAACTGTCACCATAAGCTGCTTTTGGCATATTTTCGTGTACTTTTTACAGTGACAAAGCCACGCTGCAGACTTATTATGATCGTAGTACGAATGGGTCGGCTCGTTCTGGGAGGAATCACACTGTTATAAAATTCCAAAAGTTAACTAAAACTGAAATAATTCTAAAATCATAAGTTAGTTATTTATTTAACTTTTATAAATAAAAGGAATATTAATTTACAAATGGGTTACTTAAAAATATTTTCATAATTTAACAAAATAAATAATCTTGCAAGTGGTGTAACCATTTTGGAATTCTTATTAAATGATCCAACTTTTAAAGTTAAACGCCAAATTCGTGTTGTACATTTTTTTTTAGTACAGTAATTTAAAAATGGGGAAAGTATTAATTTCGAATACTTGAATGGGAAAAAACTACATTTCCTTCTGGACTGGAGCAGTTGGCTGTATATTTTAAGCAACAGTTTTCAGACGCATTATTCAGGATTAAAGAATAAAAAGAAAATTAAAATTTGTAGCAACAGATGTTAAAAGACTGTCACAGGATGTAGATTTTTAATAAATGCCTGTAATTTTTAAAATACAATGCAAAGATTTTTTATACATTTCTGTGATTATTATGACTTGACCTATCTGCTGATTCTAGTTTGACGTCGACTTCTGGGAGATCCTGTGTATCTAATACAATTATTGAGAAGACGCTCTAGTTTGTTAAGAAGATTTTGGTTCAAAGGAGACGGTCCAAAATTGTATGAAGCGTAGGCCTAGTTTTGTACTAGTATGGAAATAAATTAAAATAAAATATTAAACCACTTTTGATCATTCAAATCCATGAATTTGCCTTAATTTCAGTGCAATTAATATTTTATTTTCACCAATAAATGCAACACTAATGGCGGATTGATGTCGTTTTGATTTGACGTTAGCTGTCATCTCTGAAACATACTCTTGGGTGGAATCTACTAGTTAGTCTGTGATATACTCATATCAATTCATTATCAGGTAGATTTATTATGTAAAATAGCTAAAATGTCTCGAAACTAGTAGCAAAGTAGGGCAAAAAAGTTGTATTTTTTGATCAAAACACGAATAAAGTGTATTATAGATTGTGTGTGTGCTGCTTTTTTGGTCTTAAAACAACTAATGTTCTTGTTGATATTTGCATATCATAAATGCAGTTCAGGAGAAAACAAGTGTAAAAAGTACTACTTAATTCCAGACAAGAAGATCGTTGAGATAAATCAACGGTGCCTACGCACAAAATTATTTCATTGCATTCATTAGTGTGTACTAATGCACACTTCACCTTAATTTAGTTCCAGATAGCTCAAAGCCGAGATTATATGTTAATAGAGGGTAACTCCGTTTCTCTACCCTAAAAAATCCACCCTGAGATACTACTTTATTGCACTAATCTTATAAAATATACTTATATTTAACTTAGAGTTACCTTACCTTAGAGTGGCTGTTTTAAGGTAGATAAACAGAATAATCCTGAATACTAATTTCTGTTCAGGTATATGTGTCTATCTGGGCTGCTGAAGTGCTAGAGTACAATCATAGATAATATAATTTATTTGTTATAATATGGTACATTACAGTTATTACAAAAGAATTGGCATCATAAATATTCTGCCGTTTCCGGCGTACAAATATATTCATATAACAGGTCCTCAGCGTGTCAGAGTATGCCTTGAGCCTTGACAGAAATTTGAAGCCTGGATAATGTCATAACAAAGGTTACCAGTCCTATGAATTATAGAAAGTGAAACATTAGGTCAATCATGTTTTGGATACTAAACATAAATAAAACCGCTTAATATTTTATTTTTTATTTATTTATCCTACTTCAAAATCCTCTCTTACTAAAATGCCATCCAGAATTGAGGCCGGTGCGGTTATAGAATTTTGATACTGAGCCCAACACAAATACCAGACAAAGGTCATTATGTGGGCACAGCAACCCACTGTCTGTTATCCAGAAGAACAACTGCAATAATAACCTGCAATTATCTCATCCCAACTTGTCCCTTGTCTCGCCAACAGTATATAATATGTATAATAATGTTGCGCGCCACTATTAATGTCTTGTACATGGCAACACTAGTTACACTAGCGCCCTCTAGTGTCGAGTAGCAGAACTAGGAGAGTCAAGATCCTTCCAGAAATTTCGGGACCGATATGTACTCGAAAATTCTAGATGTTGCTACAGTAGAAGGTTCTGGAAACTATCTGAGGCCCTATATAAGGCCGGTATAGACCACGACGAAGGCAGTATTGAATTGGCGATACAAGAGAATACTTAGAAGCGAAATAACTGCGAACTAAAGTGATTGTGTTTTATTATTATTGTGGTTTTAGATTGTAATTAGTGTTGTGTAATTAAAGTGTCAATTTTGGTAATTCAATCGGCAGTTTTAATTGTCACGAACCCTAAGCTCGTAACACTATCTATATTGCAGAAGCGCATTTTTAACAGTGCTACATGTTTAAACAGGTGAATTGAAAGATAATTACATCATATTAAGATTTTGCAGCCCTTATGAACTTATGTAGAAATTAATAATTATTAACAGACTACAGATAGAAGCATGTCATTGAAATGCGTTTATAGCTTAAGGAAACATCTTTCTTTCGTACATACCTGCTTACTGATTCAAAATGTGATTCTACAGAATACAGATGTCCGATATCAACGAAATCAAAATCTCACGTAAATAATTAATTCCAAAAACAAAAGTAGTGTCAAACAAGAGAGAGAGTAGAGTTCTGAACTACACAACCAAGCTCGAAATAAATAAAAATATCATTTGACAGAAATGATATTTGACAAATAACCGTGTCTTTTTTATTTTTTTATCACTGGAAGGGCACTTGGAAATCTTGTAAAACCATCAGAAACTTGAGATTGCATTTTTATTTTTTGCAAGTTATATATTTTGATTTATTGTCTCATTTTATTTTTAACAAAATCCCTGAATATTTCTCTTTTTTACGGTATATTGTACATAGACTGGGCCAGAAATGGACCGTCTCCTTTGTGTGGCATACATCTGCATAATCAATAATGGGAATTACCTATATAAGTGTTTGCACAAGTGTTTGCTTAGTCTTGATAGGAAGAAAATTCTTCACATGATAGAGGGATAATGAGGGACTTTGCGGCTAATTTCGGTGACATGCGTACACCAGTTCAGTGTGTGTGTTCATACACACGCCAAGATTTTTTACAGGTGAAGAGAACGGCATCAGTACATCACTGTTATAGACAGCAGGCCTTTTTTGCGCCCAAAAGCAATTGATAAGGGCTACCCCCCGGAAAGCGAGGAGGGAGGTGGTGAATGCTCTAAGCATACCACAACAGCCGGCTGTCGTGGTTACGTGGGACTCACTGCGACTAATCTAACCTAACCTAAGTGCCTACCGACTAAACACCACCTGTGAGACTGGCATTGGCTTACGAAGCCTTTCTGCCGAATCGGAAGCGACCCTCTTTAGGGAAAAGGGGGCGCAGGTAGGCTTACCAAATAAATCTTTGACAACATCCTCGAGCTATCTACG